CATTGCAGCTATTGGTTGATGAATGATTTGCATTTGATCAAGGAAAAAAGCTTCTTGTGCATCCATCTAAAAAAGAATTTATAAAATGATGAGATCACTAATAAAAGTATATTTTTCATTTTATTCAGAATAACTAAGAATAAAGACCTAATTTGTAAAATGTTATGAAAAATATTTGATTTTTTTAACGGAATTTGAAGGATGCAACAGTTGAGTATTGAAAGATAGACTAGGGTTATATATCAAAACGCAGTAACGGAAGCTTAAAAGGGAATCAAAAGACATGAGTTTGAATTTAACTTACATAAAATCTGTGACAAATGCGGAATGAGAGTGGATTAAGGTTGCACGATTCAATTTTTTAACTCCTTCTTCAGTTTTTTTTTCTTGTTTGGTGATAGCACTTTGTATATTTTCCAAGTGGTATGTGAAATCTAAAAAACTTTGAATTTTTTTAATGGAATTTGAAGGATGCAACGGTTGATATACCTTGCATACTTGAAAGTTGAAAGTGGTGGAAGTTGGAAGGATCACTTGGGAAGTGGATCAAAGATACTGACTATATGATGCTGTGATGGATTGATTGAAAATATTTTGACTATTTTTTCAATTTATTTAAAGTTATTGTAATACTAGTACTATTTACGTAAAATATACTATATTTAAAAATATTAAACTACACTTATATTGATGTGATATTGTTGATATTTATAAATCAACAACTTTTTAAAATAAAAAAAGTGATATTGTTAAAAAAAATTCATACAATTTTCATACAATTTCTTGAAATCTACATTTTGATTGAAAATATATATTTCAAGAAGGCTTGATAATTTAATATCTACATTTTGAGTGAAAATATAGATTTCAAATAAGCTTTTTATAGATTTGTAGAATTATTTAGAGTTTTTTTATATTTGTTTTTTGTAAAAAATTAGATAGAAATAGTTTTTATTTTTATTAATATAGATTTTACTAGATTTTAAAATAGTTTTTAGATATTAAAGTCTTTAGAGTTTTAGTAGTATTATTATTTCTTTATTAACTTTTAGAATTAGTTTTACTAAGTTAGTTTTATTCATAACACCTCCTTAGTAATGGAGGTGTTATGATTAAACACCTCCAGAATTTACAAAAGTCATATTCATGGTTCAAGTTAGATACCATTCTTTCGATCTATCACCGTCCTTCCCTTTTTCTTTGTTTTGGGAAGAATGATATATCGGTCAATATCATCGTTGTGTATCCAGCAGTCACAATCTGGGTCACAACAAGTCGTAGATGATTACCTTAACGACAACACTGAGGAAGATGTGATAAGGTTGGTACGAGAGGCGCAACAACAAGTCAACAATACAAGTAAGTATAGAAAAAGAAGAACGATGATATATTGAACTCGTGAAGAAGGGCATCATTGATTGTTCAATGACTACTTCTCTGAAAATCATGTATACACGGAGGCTCAATTCAAACGAAGGTTCCGTATACGAAGACATGTGTTCCTTCGTATTGTTGAAGCTCTTGGAAATCATGATGAGTACTTTCAAAGAAGGATTGATGCAGTAGGTATAATGGGTCTTTCACCATTGCAGAAGTGCACAACTGCTCTTCGTATTCTAGCATATGGATCACCAGCTGACAGTGTGAATGACTATGTTCGAATTGGAGAAAGCATGACATTCAAGTGCTTAGACAAATTTGTAATAGGCGTGTGCACAATATTTGGTGCTCAATACATGAGAAAGCCAAACAATGAAGACATTGCACGCCTACTGCAAATTAACGCGGCACATGGCTTTCCAGGTATGTTGGGTTCAATTGATTGTATGCATTGGGAATGGAAAAATTGTCCTGTCGCATGGAAAGGTCAATTTTCTAGAGGTGATCATGGTAAACCCACAATCATGCTTGAAGCTATGGCATCTCAAGACTTGTGGATTTGGCATGCATATTTTGGTATTGCGGGTTCTAACAACAACATTACTGTATTAAACACGCCTGATGTGTTTAATGATGTTTTGAATGGAAAAGCTCCTACAGTACAATACTCGGTGAATCGAACAACATATCATACAGGTTACTACCTAGCGGATGGAATTTATCCTGAGTGGGCAACATTTGTCAAGACCGTCAATATGCCGCAAGGAGAAAAGAGAAAGTTATTTGCCCAACGACAAGAATCAATACGGAAGGATGTTGAACGAGCATTTGGAGTGCTTCAAGCCCGATTCGCTATTGTATGTGGTCCATCGCGTGCTTGGCATGTGAATACAACGAAACACATAATGTTAGCATGTATCATATTACATAACATGATTGTCGAAGATGAGCGAGACACATATGCTGGTAATTTTGATTACGACCGCGTTGATAATAATTTATCCATAACTGAAGTATCTGCTAGTCCTGATCCCACTCAATTTACTATTTAAACCTCCTTATTTGTCACCTTATCTCTCATATCATCACCACATTAACCGTCCATTAACACATGTATATTAATTTTCTGCTTAATTTTCATACATTAAAATAAATTTTATCATTACAGATGCAAAGAGGTTAATTGGAAGGAAATGTAGTGATTTTGTTATTCAGAATGACATACAATTGTGGCCATTTAAGGTTGTGGATGGAAAAGATGACAAACCCGAGATCATTGTCAAGTACAAGGGTCAAGAAAAACGTCTTTGTGTTGAGGAAATCTCATCTATTCTAGTTTTATCCTTTTATGTAATATTAGTATTATTCTACTTCAAACAATGATCACCCAACACCAACATTCAACGTCAAAACCAACTTCTCTCTCCTCCACCGCCACCACCATCACCACCACCCTTCTTCCTCATTTACTGTTTTTTATGCCAGGTCATCATGGCCTTTCAAGGATCAATGAAAATACTAAAATTATTTGGAAATTTTACCCTATACCCCTGCACTTATACCCATACTCCTACATTTTTTTAAAAATACCCATTTTATCCTTATATATTATAATATTTTATTATTTTTTTTCACTTTTTAGATTTTTTAGACTTCCGAGAAATTCACCCCACGATCTATCGGAACACTTTGAAAATGACTTCTGGTAGGCTTTTTTTCTAAAACTGGAAGACTTGGGCAAAGAGTTCCGGTTCACAAAAATACTGTACCGGAAGACTTCAGGAAAGACTTCCGGTTTGGTAATTTTCGTGGGTCTTCACCGGAAGACTTGTAGCAAGAGTTCCAGTAGCCAAAAAAACAAACCGGAAGAATTTTTACAGGTCTTCCGGTTTGTTTTTTTTGCCTACCAGAACTCTTGCTACAAGTCTTCCGGTTTGAATTGTCTAATTTTTTTTTTTATTTTTTTTGAATTTTTTTTATGTAATTATTTCAGAAATTCCTTTACAAATATGCGATAAAGATCATATATGCGTAGATACGTCTGATATTTTTTCAACAACTCAAAGATTTGGTACACGAGAAGAGGTAATAAGATGGATTAAAGAGATCGAAATCCGAAATAAAGTTACGGTTATCATCACTCGTTCAGATATTAAAACAGGCAAGAGAGAAAGAAGTAACAAATTAATATTTGGATGTGATAAAGGAGGAAAACACAGAGATATTGATAGTGGAACCCAGAGTGCGACGAAAAAATATGGATGTCCATTTAGAATCAGATCAATTTCAGCGACTGATGGATCTGGATGGAAGATTGATGTAAAATATGGAGTTCATAACCATGATTTACCTGATAGATTAGAAGGTCACACATTTGTCGGTAGGTTGACAGCGGATCATAAGCAACATGTTGTTGATTTGACAAAGAGAAAGGTTCCACCTAGACATATATTGCTTTCATTGCAAGAGCAAGATCCAAATAATGTCACTCGGATCACGCAAATATACAAACATAAGAGTATGATAGAAAAAAAATATAAGAGGTCCTAGAAGTGAGATACAACATTTGTTTAAACTTATTGAGGAAGCAGGTTATGTTTATTGGAGTAGAAAAAGAGATGACTCTGAAGTAATTAGATATATCTTTTGGGCTCATCCAGATTCAATTGAGTTGTTGAATATTTTTCCTATTATGCTAGTTATGGACAGCACTTACAAGACAAACAAATATAGGCAACCTCTGTTTGAAATTGTTGGCATGACATCAACCGAGTTGACTTTTTCTGTCGCATTTGCCTATATTGAGTCTGAGCAAACTGAGCTTTTTGTTGGGTGCTAGATAAGCTTAAACAATTGTTTATGAAGAAAGAGTTGTGTCCACAAGTGATTTTGACAGATAGTGATCTTGCTTTGATGAAAGCCATTGAAATTGTGTTTCCAAGGTCGATCAATATGCTATGTCAATTTCATATTAACAAGAATGTTGGTGCAAAACGGAAACAATATGTGGTTGAACCAACTTGAGCAGGCGTGTGTTGATTGTAATGAATTTATTGATTATGTGAAGGACACATGGTTGACACCACATAGACAAAGATTTGTTGGAGCATGGATTAATCGAGTACTACATTTGGGTAACACCACGACTAATCGATATGTATTTATTTTTAGTATTTCTAAATTGTATATTTTTTTTGAATTTTTTTAAAATATTTTTAATATGTATTAATTTTAGGGTTGAGTCTGCTCATTGGAAGTTAAAGCAAATGTTGGGGAACAGTATTGGTGACATGGTCAAATGTTGGGAGGCTATGAATGACAACTTAAAGTTACAATTGGGTAATATTAGAGCTTCTTTTCAAAAGAGTTTTTATGAAGTTGAGCACGCCCACGTAAGTCCATTTTAAAATAATTTACGTGGTTCAGTGTCTCGAGATGCATTGAGACGCATTGCTGAAGAGTTAAAACGAGTTGATTATGTTGGAACTAACAAGGAAATATGTTGTTGTACTCTTAGAACAACCTACAGATTACCTTGTGCTTGTGAGTTGACAGGATATAAAATTGATGGTTTACCGATACCAATAGATGTTGTACATGTTCATTGGAGAAAACTAAGTATGGAAGTTAAGTTGGACGAATATGTAGATGATGGATCAGAGGTGGATATGAGTTGTGCAATAGATGAGTTATGGAAAAGGTTTAAGTCACTGGATGTTGTTGGGAAAAGGGCATTAAAAAGTTGGGTTTTTGAACTTGCGTTCCCTACAATGATTTCTATGTGTCCACCACCTGAGAAAATAAAAACTAAAGGGGGAGTCAAGAAGAAAGACAAAAAACCAGTAGGATATGATGTTTATAGAGACCCTTCGTATTATGAGTATGTTGATCAAGCATCTCAATCTTCACAGATGCAATCTCAACCATCATAAACTTTGAAGAAATTGAAATTATCACAGTCTTCACAAAAGAAATCTCAACCATCACAGGCTTCGAAAAAGTTGAAATTATCACAATCTTCACAGTCATCTAAGCAGTTCATCCTTCAATTTCCTAATCACATTAGGTCATATATTGATGATGTAGTTAATGTTGTATCAGATGGTAATTGTGGATTTTGAGTCATTGCTTCATTGCATGGATATGGTGAAGATGGTTGGCCAATGGTTCGTCGAGACTTGGGGTTGGAAATAATACATAATGAAAGATCAAGTTTGTATGTCAATTTATTTACTGATCAGTTAGCAGTAGTGAGAGAATCTTTGATGATAGAGGAATTTGGTCCTCAACCACCACATAAATGGTTAACTCTACCAGATATGGGTTACATGATAGCGAATCGTTATAATGTTGTACTTGTCTGTTTAGGATTTGAATGTTGGACTTTCTTCCCTATGACATCTTCATTTTCACCGAATGTAGCAATTTACTGCATTGGTTTTGTAAACAAAAATCATTGGGTTCAGGTACTTAGTTGTTTTTAGATAATGCGATTAAACGTAATTCTTTTTCGTTATTTTTACTTAATATTGTGATTATTTTTTTATTTAGGTAAACGTGAAAGAAGGATTTCCATTGCCACCAGTGACAGTAGATTGGAACAAGTTTCGTTCTCCAGCAGCAACATCTTGGATGATAGGATTTGCAGGACGTCTACAACATTGGCAACAACTTACGCCTATATTACCAACGCATTATGAATTATAAATTATGTTACTCATTTTTAATTTCAAAACAAGAATCGTGAATTATGTTACTCGTTTTTAATTTCAAAACAAGAATCGTGAATTATGTTACTCATTTTTAATTGCAAAACATGAATCATGAATTATGTTACTCATTTTAAATTTCAAAACATGAATCGTGAATTATGTTAACACATAAACATAAACTAAATAGGTCAAATGAGTCTAAAAGTTAACACATGAACATAAACCAATTAGGTCAAATGAGTCTAAAGGTTAACATATAACCATAAATATAAATATAAGTCACTGTGATCGACCAAGATGTAAAGCTTCAAACAAATCAACAAACTGTGGGTCATCCTCTTCAGCACCAGCCTGTTGAAGATAACGATGAATCAATGAAGACATACGAGCCACTATAGGATCAGATGGTCATGCTTCATATACAGGAACTGGCTTCTCTATTGCCGCATCAACACTGGGCGGTACCAGACGAGGATGCAAAACATGATAATACCACTCAAGATACCCATCATCTGTCTCATATGGGGTGGTGGCTGGTGCTGTCGGACGAATTACATTCTGAACGCTCTAATGGTAACTAATCCAGTCAACATCAATATCACCAGCCATTCGAGAATCAAGAGGTGGATGTGGAACATACTGCCTGTATCCAAACAGACGCAAACATCTGTCAGGCAAGTATGGAACAATAGTGTCACCCCACCTCAGACACCCCCTATAGAGACATAACTCATCAAACTGACGCCATTCTCTATGATTCTCGAATGGGCGCCATATGACATCGGCAGGTGTCAGCTCGTCCAGAATAGGCCGCAAGTCATCCACCTTCAAGGCACCTTGCCTATAGGGTCATCTCATCGCTCGAGGGAGACCCACATTATTAGCTGGTATCCAAATCTCTCCTCTTTTCCCAAGTGTTGGAAAATACTCATGAATCCAGCACTGTTACAAAATTAATATGGTTACTAAATTTAAAATAATTAATTAAAACATGACAAACTAGATAAATAAAATTAATATACTAGATAAAATTAATTAAAACAAAATATACTAAATTAAAATAAATACCTGTAGGAGAGTCGGATAACCACCAAGCCGCTTACAGCTGAACATAGAAGCATCTCTGAGATATCTGTAAAGAGTAACCAACGCAGCTGCTCCCCAACTGTATCATGATAAGCCATCCAAGTCTATAAACAGTGAGAGGTATCGTGCCTCGACAAGCGTAAACGTCTTGTCCGCGAAAATAGTCGAACCCACTAACATCATCAAATAAGCTCTAGTGGCATAATTCCATCTAGATGCAGCTCTATGCTCTACGAACTGATCATATAACTACTCCACCTTATAGTAGGAACCCCTGCATTCACGGACTTGTTGCTGTGTTATTCTCTGTGACACTCCTAAATAATCAACAACCCACTCAACAACAAGCGCTTCACTGATATCTTGAGGGCTCCAGAAGACTCCCCTGATGGGCAAGTGAAGCAGGCAAGATACGTCATCTAGAGTAATCGTCATCTCACCAAACGGCATGTGAAATGAAGATGTCTCTAGATGCCACCTCTCTGCAAAAGCGGAAACTAGGTTTGTGTCTATCTTTGTTAAACTGGTTCTTTGGAGTGAAGTTAGATCAGACCTAGATATCCAGCTCTCCATCTCTCTGGTTAGCTGTAGTGGAACCCTCTGAGTCAACTTCAACCCATGTCCCTCCACCTTTAACTCTTTCTTCGACCCTCTCTCCTGAAAAAAAATTAAAAGTAAAAATATTATAAAATTCAATATTAAAAATTCGAATTTTATTCAATATTAAATAATTTTCGTTTACTTACCTCACCGAACCATATACGGTATGCAACATGTTGTTCGTACTTAACTAACAGAGATGTATCATACGGTCCTCCTGAATATCCAACCGACTCGGATGCTAATGCAGATGCATCAAAATGCTCTTCTTCAGCCATTCTCGATGACTCGCCCCGTCCTAGTCTACGAGGGATCCTATAATCTCTGCCTCGTGTGCGCACCACTGGAAAAAAAAAATCAATATAATTAAAAATTAAAAAATAAATAAATAAATAAATATAATTAGAAATTAAAAATTAAAAAAAAACAATGAACCGGAAGTCTTCAAGAAAGAGTTTCGGTGAATAAACTCAAAATTTTGTGAACCGGAAGTCTTCATGAAAGAGTTCCGGTGAAGAAACAAAAACAAAATACAAACCAGAAGACTTACTCTTAGAGTTCCGGTATGTATTGAAAAACAAATGTGTTCCGGAAGACTTGGTAGAAGAATTCCAGTTTGTAAATGGATGAAGAGCTCTCCGGAAGTCTTGAAATGGAAATAAGTGGAAATGAAGTGAAACTGAAATTTTTTAAAATTATAGATATTTAAATAAGGGTATTTTAGTCCAATATTTTTGAGTGTAAGGGTGTAGGTATAAGGGTAAGGGTATGGGGTAAAATCTTCAAATTATTTTTTTGAAATACTATAAATACTAGAAATATGTTGTATATTTTTTTACATATTTAAGTTCCAATATATTCTGTTTTATATGTTATAAATATTTAGTATACTTATATGTTTTATAAAATATTAATAAATCTTATAAATATAAAAAATCATTTTGGATTATTAAACCTTATAAATTATATTTTCTTATTAATAAACTTTAAAAAAAATGTAACAAACCTAATATATTATATATATTTTTGAATTAATAATTTAATTAAAAATTTATTAAAATTTAAAAACAACTACGTAAAGAAAAGCCAACAATCCAATAAATTTTATATATGAAATTCAAAAGAAAAAAATAAAATAGCCAAAATTTGACATAATTGAAATGCTCGGGAATAAGTGATTTGTTAGAATACCTTAAAAGCGTAGGATCTTTAATCAAGAAAATCAGAGTTGGTATAATAGCAAAGCATAACCATGCGTCAAAATAATCACTTGCCATCGTCTCAATAATTTCTACACCTCCAAATTTTAGAACACTTGCCCTGACAAATGGAAAAATAATCACATGTTAGTGAATGGTATGGTATGAAAAAAAAATATTAGTCTTGACGAACTAAATAAAAATGCACCACACTACTTACTATTATCAACTATAAACTGATTATAGAAACGCAATAGAGAGAGATTAGATCAGAGATTTTGAAGAAGTGAAGTTGCATGAGATGAAAGATAATGAATATATATTGAGATTGTGTTTTCTTCTGTCACTCACTCACACTATTAAATATTTGGTTGGTGCTATTTGGATTTATTTATAGTAATGGAATCTCTCTGCTCTATTATTGTTCACTTTTCCTGTTCATTCACATGCATTTAACTTATCTGTTATACAGTGGGAGATGGTAGCAGACATATCTGGTTAACTGTGTTGATAGAGTGATAGAATCTCTCAGCTCCTTATTAAAAGTTTTGTCTTTTTCAAAAATTTTAATTTGTTTAATGCATGTAAAATCTTAAGACCATCTCCAGCGGTAGAATTTCTACCTAGTTCGTCACCTGTACGCAGGTTTTTAAGAAAATGGATCATTTTTCAAGTGTCAGGTCAACTGTGATTTCAGACTGCAACGTTGCAATGGAATAAAAAAATATTAAAAGTTAAATTTTGGTAAAGTTGAAAAGTGAAAACATAGTATCATAATTTTTTAACAATTATACCACCTTGTTGTAACTCATCCAAACTCACCACAAAATTATCAGAACAATTACTAGAAACAATCTGCAATATTTCACAACCAAATTTTCATCAATAATTCTCATAACAAACAAACTTTTTTCACCACAAGCTGCCGCAAATTACCGACACGCCGACGAAACCGGTGATAGCTATCACATCAAGCACAACAAAAGTACAATAAGTTCACTAATTGAAACTAATTTGTCCTAAATAGATCTAACAGTGATAGCCTTCTCCTCACACCTTAATACCAACAGAGAAACATATTAAGTCCTACATAGATACTAGTGGCCATAGCAGCAAGAGTTCCACAAAAACTATACTAAACTCCTTAACAGCCAACCAAAGCAAACTGCCCCTCGAGGGCCCAATCAGAAATGAGGTACACGACAACTCTTAAAACCCTCATGACAACAAACCTGTTCTACACCAAATACCTTTACACAACAGTCATAACCTAAACCAAACTCCTACTTAAAAAACTGATAGCAACTGAGTTGGAAGACTTAAATCTCAAGCACA